CTATAGTGTCGCCTAAACTACTGACGTCCTTTGGTATCCACTACCCACAGAGCCGTCGATATTCAGCATAGTGCAATACCAATAATCTTTTGACAGGAAAATGATATAAAAAACATATACTTTTTAATATCGTTATTTTCGCTGATAGGTAAAGTTCGCTAAACGGAATTCACTTAACATATAACTCATTGTTGTCTTGTCAAGTTTATGAACTCAAAGCCCGGCTCAAAACATAAACAATAGTAAAATTGAATGCCAGTTAAAATAAATGGTTTTACAGTGCATGGAAAATGAAACAACAGACTCTACCACACTGAACATGTTATGAGAGGAATACCAACATATCACACAATGTGCACAGCTCGTACATACCTATTTTGCATTCACACATATTGTACTACATGTTCAAGTGCAGCTTGAAAAATAGATCATTCGGTCCATTGATGTATGGTCACATGTGGAACATCTGAGTATATTTGTCTGTGACATCAACACTTTATTTAGGGTCGGATTATACCCACAAAAGACTGCTTATTCTAGCTCCATCCCATTATATACTCATTTACATTTTCAGCATTTTTGATATATTGTTTTTTTTTTAAATTGTTCAATTTATTATTATTCAGGACATGAATAAAATGATATTACATCCCAGCTTGATGGTTATTTTTACTATTCTAGGCACACCAGACAAAGTTTACAATTTACTCAATTGTGCTATTGGTCCAGACGGCAACCAAGATAATAGTTATCTAACATTCCTGTCAAGAGGCGGTCTAATGTTCGGTATAATTAATGTGGTGGGTGAGTTCTAAATTAATATACTGGAAGTAAGTACGTGGTCATAAAATTTGCCATAGTGTGGTTGTAGTATTCTAGAAAGTTGTTCTCTTATACAGGTAACTTCGGCACAGTCTTTGTAGACCAGTCTTATTGGCAAAGCAGCGTGGCAGCCAAACCAAGACAAGGCGTCTGGGGATTTATCACTGGTGGACTTACATGGTTTGCTATACCATTCACTTTTGCCACTACTATGGGACTGGCATATGTAGCTTTGAGCACAGCAAATGGGGAAGATCTATTGACTGAGAGTGAAATTAATGAAGGTGAGAAAAAACATTACCCCGTTATTCCCCTCTGCTCTTATTTGCTTCCTATTTCGCCTTATTGTTTACTTATTATTGTCACACTATTCCCTATTTTTATTGCCTGATTAATTTTCTATTTTCATTATGCGACCATTTCTCTGAATATGCTGACTTTATGATGAATGTGTCGTTATGTTTTACTCTACTCACCAGGGCTTGTACCCCCAACTGTGGCATATACACTCATGGGCAAAGCTGGTGCTATATTGATGACATTGATGATTTTGATGGCTGTGACGTCGACGGGGTCTGCAGAAGTTATTGCAGTGGCTTCAATCTTGGTATACGACCTTTATCAGATACACTGGAGACCATACCGGGCAGTGAATGACACAAGGAGTTGTTTACTATGTGGAAAGCATCGTGACCGAACAGAGAATAAAGATGATCAGTGTGAATGCTACAGCATGTCTCAGTGCAAAAGATGTTGGATAGATGACAGGTATGCATCTACAAGTATGACAATATCATGCACCACACACACCTAACCATACCCACTGCATCATATCCGATCGCACAGCACCACATTTCACTGTACTGTACAGGATCACACCGCAAAACACGATACAAAAGCTTTATACAATGTACGTCATATGTAATATTAGTAATGTATTATTCAACACAAACCCTGTGCACTACTAAAGATAGGGAATCAAAGTCCTATTATATATGTTCATAAAGTTTCATCCAACTTTCTATGTGAATGCAGCGATCGCTCTAGTTCAAAGGCAGCAGTCCTACCTACATTCAAATGTCCTATGCACGGTCCATATAGAACGTATCTAGAAGTGTTGATCGAAAAGAAGAACTGGTGTATATTTTGGGTAGCTATTCTCATTGTACCTTTGACTCTGCTCCTACAAGCCGCACAGGTAAGTAAATCAATTCATCCCTGGTACTTACTTGAAATTAAAAATAGATTAAGTGTTTTTAAATTTGGATCCTGGGGTTGGAATCTGTATGCAAAATTAACTAGGGTGTTGTTAGGGGGTGACACGAAACATAAATATGAACCATATGGTTTGTACTGTGTAAGTTAAGGTTCACTTATCTCAACTTGCAGAATAGGAGTACTGGTTTATTTGAATATCTTAATTTTTGTAACTCTCTGCGTCAAAACAATTAACTGATTTAGTCATTTGACAGATAAATGCGACCTTCATTTACGTGGCACCACGAGGATTTTAAATGGTTAACGATCAATAAATTACGTAGAACAAACGTTATTGAAGATTTAAAAGTATGATAAACAAATGCAATCTAACAAAGTATGATATAGGGGATTTAAAACATTGAATGCATTACATATTTAGTTACAATGAATAATTTGTAAATGCAAAATTATAAATGAGACAGAAATAGAGAAGTCACCAACATGGCCGACGTATTTGACTTGAGTGTTTCCAGTAAAGGTAACGTCGCAATCAAGGAGACAGAGTAAGTCTACGACAAACACAGAATTCAAGAAAACATCTGAGAGCGGGAGACTTGTAGAGAACACTTATCGTGAACAAAGCATGACAATAGATTGGATAGATAAAATTTCAGTGTTGTTCATAAACTTAGGGTCTTGCTTCTGTTGGAATCTATTGTAAAATTCGAACACAATATGCAAATTCGATCGCCATAATTCAAATGTAATATACAAATAGTCATGACGTGGTATCAAGAAATACACAAGTATTATATAAATAATAAAGTTATTAGCTCTATGCCATTTACTCATTTATTTACTCACTTTTAGAATTATTTCTAATGTTCAAATGTATTCATCCCTTCAATTGATTCGAGTTTCATTCGGTAGACAATGTAGTCAGAAGTTATTACACGTTCCTATTCTTAGGCAAACCACTGCCTCTGTAATCACATTATCCAAAGCATTAAATTAATACAAGATAATTAAATAAATAATTGAGCACATGATAAATAAATATATATTATCTATATCATAAGTATATATTTGCAATACCTAATATGTATTTATCAGAAATATTTAATACTATTTTGAGAAACCTTGATGTGCATAAAGAAGATTGTTCAGGTGAATATTTGTACAGTGTACATTCCTTAGACATAATGATTTCCCTTCTGTTGGCAAATAATGAAATTAGTAATTCAGTAACTTACTTAGTGCTACACTACACAAGTGTTCAATGTAAACTCATCAGTCTGGACGCAGTAACATATTCGATACCCATGGCTTTGTCTGGTCATGAATTCAGAAATAAAATATATAGCGGTTAGTTTGTTACAATACATTTACTTCGTACACTACCATCTATTTCCTTTAGGTTAGCCTTGGTTGGGTGTATCTATTCATGGGTGTGGTTATAGGGTCTAGTGTGGTGCCGATAGCGCTGACCGTTTTCTGGACAAGGTTGAATGGTAAAGCTGCAGTTATAGGTACAGTTGGGGGCACACTATGTGGTCTAACTGCATGGTTAGTCACAGCATCGACATTCGATGGTGGATTGAGTTCGGATGTGTTTCTGAAAAATACAGGTAAAAGAACGCTGAATTGAAGTGTGCTTATTAAATTCCCTGTTAATGAATTTTATAGTCTGAGCATGAATAATTCTAATATTCTTCGAGCAAACACAAGCACATTGCATGTAAATACTGATCACACATGTTTACTAAATAGAATTAAGGATTTGCAGTGGATTATAAGCCTTAACTCACTCTTTGGAATTGTAAAATTAGCATAAAACAAATCATGCAAATCTCTATATCATATATTTAGAAATCGAATAAAAATGCCGAAATCTTCAACTGAACAATTCCCCTGTTGAATAAATACAACTATAATAAATTAGATTAGGATTTCTCCGCAATGTTGGTCGTTGAAGAACTAGTCTTTAAGTTCATTTCGCCCAGCAGGCTGGAGACTGGGAATGGATTTCTAGAATACACTTCATCTAGTCATCTTATTCTCACATTGGCGCCATGTTATTCAAAGTTAGCTCGCAGCACAAGTTCGTAATGTCGGTATTTTGAGTCCACCCGTTGCCTACCATACTCGAGCATCTTTTGATGGTTAAGACAGAAAATAAACTTGTTTGGTAGATTATCTTTCAAGGAATTCACTCCTTTATTTTATGACCCATAATCTGCTGAACTTGTTTATTATTCATTAAAATAATAATGTGTAATATCTATTAATGTTCTTGTGTTGTTTAAACCCTTAGGGCAGGAACTCAGTATGTTGAATGGCAATATCATGGCAATACTGACAGGCGCTATTCTAACTATCGCTGTGCCCCTTGCCACCAACCGTCACATGACTGATGAGCAGAAGAAAGAAGAATGGGAGAAGACACGTGACATTGATAACCCCCTGCTTCCCTGGGCTGACAGATATGCCAGGTATGAATACATTTAATATTTTGTCTATGTGTGGCTGTGTGTATTTATTCTTTTGATACTAACACTACATGGTAGTGAAAAAAGTGCTCCATTTTTGGGTCGACGTTAAATGTTATAACAGATTTATGAACGTTAGTACAAGGGGGAATACTTAGGGACTTTGCATAATGTTTCTTATGTGATTTACGGAACCTGGATATACAATGGTCAGTATAACGTTATTGTTCTTTTATGAACTCAGTATTTATTGAAATAGGGGATTAAGTGGGAAATTCTATCTTGGTACAAGCTCTTGTCAACGACCGTGGACATAAGCTTATATATTTTCTCTATAGCTGCAATAGAAACATAGTCATTGCCTTCAAGCTTATTACACATATATATTATAATTTAGGATCAAGGGTTCATTTGGTATTTTTTGTGAATGTATATTTACAGTATAACTACAAGTCATTGCCTTTAAACTTGGCACACATAAATTACTATTTTTTAATTATTTGAGTTTATCATGGTTACTCTTATTTCAGCGAAATTGGGAACTACGATTCTAAGAATCTGTCTAACCGACCTGAGTTAAAACTAGTAGAGAAAACGTTCAAGGTTGCCAAGATTGCTGCGACAGTTAGTGCTGTACTTTTGACAGTGATTCTTATAATAATATGGCCTGCCTCTATGATCGCTGTCAACGTCATGAATGCCACCGAATTCAACATCTGGGTCATTGTATCTCAAAGCTGGGCGTGGATTGGTGCTGTCTTCATCATCAGTGTACCGATCATAACTGAAGTCCACACCATTATTAAACAAGTGATTCATAATCGAGACAACCAAGATGGCGAACAAAAGATGAAGACGGATACCCGTTTGTCACGGTATACACAGACAAATCAGGCATGTATGTACGACAATAAAGAAGATATGAACATGGAAGCATTCTAATGTAATGAGTGAAAAACCTAACAAATAGTATAAGCATTGATAATAGTTATATAATTATCATTACTCGCAGATCATTTAAGGTAGCGAGACTATTATTTGTGTTGAAAATTACGATTTTCACATTTATTTATTAATTGATGAAATGCACCATAAACTTTCATATGATAAAGTCAATATAACGTAGGATGTCATGTAAGTTGGTTAAAATGTAGATTTTCTGAAGGGAAGCAAGGCAGCCTCAGTAGTGTTTTCCAAAATCAACAACACAGGTTTAATCTGTGTGCCTATAAGTTTCAAAGATAAACTCAAGACAAAGCAATGTTAGGATGTGTTATCAGTAGCTATCTGACACACAATGAGTGTTTCCAAACATTTGAGTGGTTTGTCTCCGCCCCTGTTTGTTTCACAGATTAGTCATTTGCATATGAATGTGTCAGACACAAGGTCACACAGCCACTGAAAAAAATCATTGATTTTGGTGTTTTCATATGCCGAATTTATCCAATTATAGCTATCCCATTCCTTTATTTTTTTGGTTTCCAATAGCCTTACACATTTGGATGTCCCTACACATGGTAAAACAGACCTTGATGGGAAAACAAATTGATTGTGCCGATAAACAAGCTTGAAAATCTTTGCTGTTACTTCATGGACGTTTTCTAGGAGTTTATGTTTTTCAAAATACAAGTCTTTAACAAAAAATAACGTATACTTATTGTCGTCGGATTAACACCAAATTTTAA